GAAACCAAATTGTGATCAATATCTCTACAAAAATGTACTGCTAATTATTAAAAGATCATAATAAAATTCAAAACTGAGTCTGATTTGAAACTCAAACGGGATTACTTTCTACCCCCGGTTCCCTTTTACGCGGCGCCCTCCGCCCCCTCCCGCCCCCAGTGCATGTAACTCATTTTATCCATTTTGCCCCGTCCTCCACTAATTGCTGAACAGTCTTGAAAAACGACAAAAAAAAGATATTTGGAACTTTAAACTGTTTCGTCGCGGATTTGTACATCGTGTTGGGGTACTTTAACAAAAGAAAAAACCCAACAATTCAGTAAGAACTTCTTTCTATGACATTCAAAATATCTCAGTGCATTTACCAGAATTTCTCTATTCTCAATTCAACTATTTTTCCTAATTAAATTTCGTAGAATTCAGAATAAATTCAATCCCATCGTCTAGACAGTTGTAAAACCATAAAATTCTTTCAAGAATATTTCTCAAATATCTTTGCTAGAATCTGTTGAAATCTGTTTATTCCAAACTTGAATTGTTCCATTGAGATAATCCTCAAATTCCCAAACGCATTTTGTAAAGGACATTTCTTTGTATTTTAATCATCGTCTGACTGTCCTAATCCCTCTATTGAATTATTTATATTTTTGAAATGTTTATGATAGCACTCGATCATCTGCGTCCTCAATTGTAATGATCACTTCTCCTCCCTTTATTGCACTCGACCCTCGATAATCCCTTGCAACACCTAGCTCCTTTTACTCAAGACCCCCTGCAACTCGGTCACGGGCCCAGACACCGGTCAACCTCTCCCTCTCTCCCTGGTTCTTGAACCTCTGAATTTTCCACTCCATTTCTCCAATCAGGGTATTGTCCCGCCCATCAAGGTTCTTCTAGACCAATCATTTATTAAATCGAATGACTATTTTCCTTCCACTAATTTTCATCCCTGCCACTCAAGAATTTCCAACTTGTCCAAAAATTTTCATTTTTACAAATCAGTATCGTCTCAGAATCGTTTCGTACAACATTATTGCTAATATTCATTTGCCGTCGGTATAATCTAGTATTGTCGAAGAAAATATCGCGACATTATAACATTCTTCAAATTTTTACATACACCTTCCGTATTTTAACTCGGTTCACATTCCATTTTTATTTAATTATTTGAAAAAACATAATATTAAGTGTAAATAAATTGTGAAAATATATTGAAAATTTAAGTGAAGTGACTTGGTGTTATTTTTTTTTCATAAACTTTTAAGCTTTTGACTTTCCAACAGTTTGTGTAAAAGAATTGTTTTTTACTAAACTAAACATATTGGTCCTTCGAGCCGGATTTTGTGAACAAGTGATTCGGGAGTGTGTGAACATTACTATCGTTGATATCTCTTGTGATATCGGTTTTTTGACTTTTTACTAGCATATCGTTGCCACCAAACATATTGAAAATTTAATTATTACTGTGGGTAATTTCTAAAGTGAAGTGAACTCATCATGGCAGATGAGGCCAGACTTAGTACGCTCAGACGTCAGCGTGGCCATATACAAGCATCTATAACGATGTTCAACGCATCTATGGAGGCATACGTGGCATCACCCGTCGCACAACGTATTCCAGAGAGACTCCAAGTCGCGCTAGATGGCATGAAGCAACGATTTCAACGCTTTGAAAAAATTCAAGACGAGCTAGAAGAGGCGGATGAAGCAGAGGGACCAAGATGTTTCAAGTTATTGAACAAGTACGAACAGGCCGTCAGCGATGCCCTCCATCACCTCGCATCCTCTCAACCAGCACCTCCTCCTCCACAACAAAACGAAAATACTTCGACGGGGTCTGCGACACCAGACTCAACTGCATCCTTGCTATCGCTCATGCGTCTGCCTGAACTTGACATTCCCAAGTTCGACGGATCATATGAAAATTATCATCCATTTTGGGACCTGTATGATTGCAACATACATAAGAACTTTGCATTATCCAAGGTTCAGAAACTTCAACACTTACGAAGTTTCCTTACGGGGAGAGCCGCCAAGGCCATTGAATTTCTCTTAAACACTGAGGATAATTACGACACTGCTTTGAATATCATCAAGAAAAAATTCGACTGCACCAGGAAAATCATCCGCAGACATTGGGAACTGCTTCACGAGTATCCAGCACTGGCTAAAGATACACGAGAAGCACTCGGTCATCTGGTCGACACGGTCTATCAGCACACTAGGGCGCTACAAAACCTCAAACAACCAGTGGATCAATGGGATCTTCCGCTCATTCATTTGATACAATCAAAGATCAGTCCCATGACAAGTGATCTCTGGGAATTGAAGATCAAAGACTCTCAGTTACCCAAATACATGAGTTTACTTGAATTCCTGGAAAATCGTTCACGCTGCTCATCAGTAACTACTTAATTCACACGCGATGAGAAATCCAATCGCAATCGAGGACGAAGGCAAGCATTCGTGACTTCTAGCACATCGACAGTCGTTTCATGCGCCATGTGCAAGGAAAATCACAACATTATGAGGTGTCCACAATTCAAACAACTGTCACCAGTGGCTCGTTACAAGCAGGCGAAGAAACTCTCTCTCTGCATCAATTGTCTCACTCCAGGCCACGGTGTCAATAGCTGCAATTCAAGGAATTGCTCACGTTGCTAGCAACCTCACAACTCTCTTCTGCATCGGTCAGAAACACCAACAGGCAATCAATCTGCCACTGCAACAGAGGCAACGCCCAACAACGTCTCTTGACTAGGCCGAGAACAGAGCCCAGCTGAGTTATCGCAACATACGACACTGATCGTCAACTCGTCTACTTGTGATTTAATGGTAACAGCTAAACTCAAGGTATTAAATAACAATGATTCACTCATCGCCTGTCGTGCATTATTGGATTCATGCTCAACAACCAATTTTATTACTGAGAGTTTGGCTACGTCACTTGGACTACCAAAAAAGCACTTCTCGACATCAGTTGGAGCTCTGAATGCGGTCACGACTGCAACAAAGCACCTCATAACTGCCACTATACGTTCGCGAATTAACAACGAAGAATGAACAATTACATTCTTGACGGTCCCCAGTATCTCTACGATGGTGCCGGGACAACCACTTGACAGGGATAAAATAAAAATTCCCTCAAATTTGAAACTCGCTGATCCAGAATTTCACCAACCAGCTCCCATCGACATGTTGATTGGAACAGGGACAACACTTTCGTTTCTTGGATCCGCGAGAATGCGAATTTCCGCCGAAGATGGTTGGGTTATTGGAGGGGGAGCTCCTACTTCTAAACCTACTCGTCAACGCTCTTGTCATCTCATCAACACAGACTCTCTGGAATTTGATTTAACTAAATTCTGGGAACTTGAGGACTGTACGGAAAAGCGGCCTTTAATGACGTTGAAATCGCACGTGAGCAACATTTCAAGGATCACGTGACCAGAGACTTGACAGGGCGATACATCGTGGCTCTTCCCTTCAATGACAGCATTTCTCAACTCGGGATATCGAGATCTCGAGCCTACAATCGGTTCAAATCGTGCGAGAAAAAATTCTATCGAGACCCTCAACTTGCTAGATAATACAGTGCGGTCATTCAAAAGAACATTGAACTTAGACACATGACCGAAATTAATAACTCAACTTTGACAGATCACGGTTATTATTTACCTCATCACGCTGTGTTCAAAGAAGGCAGCCTAACAACAAAATTGCGGGTTGTATTCGACGGATCTGCCAAAACCAATACCGGGGTCTCTTTGAACGATGCTCTCCATGTGGGTCCCACTATTCAAGATGACATTTTCTCTTTATTATCGAGATTTCATTTCCATCAATATGTTCTGACGGGCGACATTGAGACAATGTATCGACAAATTCTCGTACGTCCAGAGGATCGTAAATACCAACGCATTCTGTGACGCGATGATGACGGGCCTGTAAGAACCTACGAACTCAATACAGTGACGTTTGGACTATCAGCAGCACCCTACCTCGCAATCAGATGTCTTCATCAACTAGCTGATGATGAACAACATCAATATCCTACTGCAGCTGCAATTCTGAAGAAATCTCAATATCAATCTCGATAGAATAGAAATAGAAATCTCGATATCAATAAACATCTACAACTTGGAGATTCAACAACACTGAAAACATTGGGAATCGCTTGGGATTCAGCTACTGGCAATTAAATATTTTGCTAAAACCACTCCAGATATTGAACAAATAACAAAAAAAGTGATTTTATCAGAAACAGCAAAATGATTTGATCCGTTGGGCTTACTGTCACCGGTTGTAATTGTTGCCAAAGCCTTCATCCAAAAATTATGGGAATTGAAAGTTCATTGGGACACTGTTTTGCCACTGGACCTGCAGGAAGAATGGCTCAAGCTCTACAAACAATTACCAATGCTTGAGCAAGCAACATTCCCAAGGGGAGTTTTGATACCAGAAGCTACCAATATCCAACTCCATGGTTTTTGTGATGCGAGCAAAATGGCATATGGAGCTTGTCTTTACCTCCGATCTGCTGACATACATGGAAACATAAGAGTAAATTTACTCGCCTTGCTCCCTTGAAAGAGCAAACTATACCACGTCACGAATTGTGCGGGGCTCAACTCTTGATATCACTCGTGGAAAACGTTCGGACAGCCATCAACTACAACATCAACGAAATATTCTATTGGACTGATTCCACGGTAGATTTACATTGGTTGAACACGCCAGCACACAAACTCCAATTTTTCGTCAGTAATAGAGTGGCAGAAATTCAACAAAAAACTAACATTCAGAATTGGAGACATGTGCGAACCCACGAAAATCCAGCTGATCTCGTGTCACATGAGCAAACACCATCTGAATTTATTAAACCTTCGCTTTGGGTTTCTGGTCCATCATGGCTGCAAGAAGACGAAAGTGGATGGCCCAATCTACAATTAGAATTCTCATCGCAAGTACCGGATCTACGGAAGTCACAAGCAGCCAAGATGGAAACCTGTTTGGCCTCAACGACTGATTCTAAATCCTTGAACATTTGGTCCTCATCAATTACTAAACTACAACGTATTATTGTCTATTGTTTGAGGTTTAAAACTCGGCGCAGAGGTCCACTGGCCCTTGATGAACTTGAAGCTGCCCTCCATGCTATCGTACACTGGGTACAATCAGAGAACTTTACAGCGGCCATCAAGGAGCTCCAACACCCTCCGACAACTGGGCATAAATCCTCAGAATTGTCTAAATTTGCTAAATTGACTCCATTCATCGACAAGGATGGACTTCTACAAGTGGGAGGTCGGTTGACGAATGCAAATATTCCATATTCTCAACGTCATCCCCTCATTCTCCCAAGGCGACACCCATTAACTGACCACATCATCAGGCATGAGCACAGAGTACAACTACATGCTGGTGCCCAAGCTACGCTATACACTGTTCGCCGTCGTTTCTGGCTCCTGGACGGGCGCCATTCAGTTGGACGCATTGTTCGGTCTTGTATCAAATGCATCAGACACAAGCCACCACAAGTTGATTACATCATGGGTAATCTGCCTGAGTCTCGAATAACAGAGTCTCGTCCATTCACTCACGTTGGGATCGACTACCGTGGCCCCTTCTTTATAAAGGAAAAGAAGGTGTACAACCAAGGTCGCATCAAAGTCTACGTCGCTGTCTTCGTCTGCCTTGCGGTTAAGGCAGTCCATTTGGAGGTCGTGAGTGACCTCACTACTAAGGGTTTTCTCGCCGCCTTGCGACGTTTCATCGCTCGACGGGGAGTTTGCAGCAACATTTACTCAGTCAATTGCACAAATTTTGTCGGTGCCAACAGTGAGCTGAAGGAGGTTCACGAATTCTTGCAGAATGAAAATGATCGGCAAAAAATCCTTCATTTTGCCACTTCCAAGGAGATCCGCTGGCACTTCATCCCAGCACAATCTCCAAACTTTGGTGGACTCTGGGAAGCTGCGGTTAAGTCCTTCAAGCATCATTTGAAAAGGATTGTGACCACCGAAGTACTCACATTAGAAGAGTTCAACACATTAGCAATCGAGATTGAGGCCGTACTAAATTCACGACCTCTCACACCTCTTTCAACAGATCCAATCGATCCAATTGCATTGACTCCTGGCCACTTCTTGATTGGTGACTCGCTGACAAATCTCAGAGGTCCAGACTTTCGGGACACTCCGAGCAATCGTCTTTCAACTTGGCAACACATCCAGGAGTTGAAACGGGACTTTTGGGCCCGCTGGCATCGAGAATACATCAGCGGGTCAACCTCAAATCCAAGTGGACGCATGGGGAGCACCAAATCAAAGAAGGTACTCTCGTAATTATGAAGGAAGACAACCTACCTCCAATGCAATGGGCTTTGGGCAAGATCATCAAAACTCATGCTGGCACTGATGGCATCATCCGAGCAGTTACAGTTAAAACTGTCAAAGGAACCTACGAACGCCACGTGAGGAAATTGGCTCCTCTACCCAACACTGATGATTCAACATGTTGATCAAGGCTTCTCAACAGGGGAGTATGTTCCGTCGCGGATTTGTACATCGTGTTGGGGTAATTCAACAAAAGAAAAAACCCAACAATTCAGTAAGAACGTCTTCCTATGACATTCAAAATATCTCAGTGCATTTACCCGAATTTCTCTATTCTCAATTCAAATATTTTTCCTAATTAAATTTCGTAGAATTCAGAATAAATTCAGTCCCATCATCTAGACAGTTGTAAAACCATAAAATTCTTTCAAGAATATTTCTCAAATATCTTTGCTAGAATCTTTTGAAATCTGTTTATTCCAAACTTGAATTTTTCCATTGAGATAATCCTCAAATTCCCAGGCGCATTTTGAAAAGGACGTTTCTTAGTATTTTAATCATCGCCTGACTATCCTAATCCCTCTATTGAATTATTTATATTTTTGAAATGTTTATGATAGCACACTCAATCATCTGCGTCCTCAATTGTAATGATCACTTCTCCTCCCTTTATTGCACTCGACCCTCGATAATCCTTTGCAACACCTAGCTCGTTTCACTCAAGACCCCCTGCAATTCGGGCAAGGGCCCAGACACCGGTCAACCTCTCCCTCTCTCCCTGGTTCTTAAACCTCTGAATTTTCCACTCCATTTCTCCAATCAGGGTATTGTCCCAAGGTTCTTCTAGAATAATCATTTATAAAATCGAATGACTATTTTCCCTCCACTAATTTTCATCCCTTCCACTCAAAAATTTCCAACTTGTCCAAAATTTTTCATTTTTACAAATCAGTATCGTCTCAGAATCGTTTCGTACAATAACATTATTGCTAATATTCATTTGTCGTCGGTATAATTTAGTATTATCGAAGAAAATATCGCGACATTATAACATTCTTCAAATTTTACATACGCCTTCCGTATTTTGACTCCGTTCACAGTCCATTTTTATTTAATTATTTGAAAAAACATAATATAAAGTGTAAATAAATTGTGAAAATATATTGAAAATTTAAGTGAAGTGACTTGGTGTTATTTTTTTTTATAAACTTTTAACCTGTTGACTTTCCAACAGTTTGTGTAAGAGAATTGTTTTTTACTAAACTAAACAAAACTGTTCCACTGTTAACAAAAATAGAACTTACCTGAGATTCGATGGATATTTTTCAACCTGTATGAAGGTTGAGTGATAAGCGATGTTGCAGTGGTACGCAATCACTTATTGACGATTGTGAACAGTTCAAAAAAGGATTTAATTATGACGGATAACTTTTCAATTAAAATCACTGGTACCGGCACTGGTTGTACGTTCGGAGGGTTACGAGCGATCAGCGTCGAATGACGGGATGAAGCTACGCGTGTAGGCGTCTCGCCGATCGTCGGCGATGACGCCAAGTTTCTCAGAACAAATCTCGATATCTTGTACGTACCCGATCACAAATATCACGAATCTCCACCACATTAGTTGCATTAATATATAATAATTCATAAGTTTATTTACCTTCAGAAAGTTTTCAGCGTACGCAACACTCAAGAAAATTTTTTCCAAAGTTTCTCCCCAATTTAACATTTCAAAAACGTAAGTTAAGAATTCTCACTAATGACCTAGAGTTACATTTTTCAACTTATCATATTGGGAAATTAGGTACGAATAACATTCAACTATGACATTTTTGTTATACGTTTTACAAGGAAACCATTAACGGATTAGAGATATGGGAAAACATGCAAGTATACTTAGTTGGAGGCGGAGTTTTTGAAATACAGGGTGTTTCTAAATGATCCAATTACCTCTCGTCCAGCGATAGATTCGAGTCCCCTGAATACGGAAAAAATGCGAAAAAATTATTAATCAACTAGTTTTTAAATTAACGTTTTAAATTAACGTTTTTAAATTAATGTTTAAGATGGACCAATTGGGAGCGCGTATTTTGTCGCGACGGAGTGGGTAGAGAGGGGAGTAGAGCATATGACAACAGCGCATCTAGTTATGGAGAGGCTAGTGACGTGAAGGCAGTTGCGGTATTGTCAATATTACTAGACGATGGAGGGATGTTTTCATGTATCCTCAATCCGTGATTGAGTCATTGGTTAGGCAGTATGCAGATTGGAATGACACCGAATTTTGAATGGTTTTTTGAACCCGAAAAAATGAGGATCGATTGTGAATCCCCCGCTGATGAATCCAATGCATCCAATGCGCAATAAATAATAATGAATTGATGTTTGAGTTGAAAATTAATTAGAGGCAAAAGTCCAGATCAACTCTTGACGATAGGACTCGAAATAATGGTCACAGAATAAGGGTTAGGATGAGTGTCATGATAAGGGTAGGCATTGGAGTCAAAGTAAGAGCAGCAAATTCTAACCCTTATTGGGGCAGATTGTGGGTCCCAATAAGGGTCAGAATGAGCGTCAGTATGGGGGCCGAAATAAGGGTCGGTATGAGGGCCAAAATGAGAGTGGGTATAAGGGCCAAAATAGAGGTTTGAATAAGGGCCAAAATGAGGGTCAAAATAAAGGACAAAATAGGGGTCGGTATGAGGGCCAAAATGAGTGTTCAAATAAGGGCTAAAGTGAGAGTCAAAAGGTGAGAGTGAGGGTCAAAATGGGGGCCGGAATAAAGGTCAGTATAAGAGCCAAAATATGGGCCAGAAGAAGGGTGAAAATGAGGGTCGGAATTAGGGCCAAAATGGGTGTCGGAATTAGGGCCAAAATGGATGTCGGTATAAGGGCCAAAATGGGGGTCGGTATAAAGGCGAAAATAAGGGTCGGTATAAGGGCCAAAGTAGGGGGGTATAAGAGTCAAAATAAGGGCCAAAATATGGATTAGTATGAGGGCCAAAATGAGTGTTGAAATAAGGGACAAAATCAGTGTCATTATGAGGGCCAAAATGAGGGGCAGAATAAAGGTCAGAATAAAGGTCAAAATAAGAGCCAAAGTGAGAATCAGAATAAGGGTCTGGATAAGGGCCACAATAAGGGCTCGTAGAAGGGCCAAAATGAGGGTTAGAATAAGGGCCAAAATAAGGGGCAGTATGAGGGCTAAAAAGGGGGTCGGTTTAAGGGCCACAATAAGGGTCAGAATGAGGGTTGGAATAAGGGTCTGTATGAGGGCCAAAATGGAGGTCGGTATAAGGGCCAAAATAGGGGTCAGAATAAGGGCCAAAATAAGGGTGAGAATATAGGCCAAAGTAGCGGTCAAAATAGGGGTTGAAATAAGTGCCAAAATGAGGGTCACTATGAGGGCCTAAATGGAGATCAGAATAAGCGCCAAAATAAGGGTTGGTATGAGGGCCAAAATGGAGGTCGGTATAAGGGCCAAAATAGGGGTCAGAATAAGGGCCAAAATGAGGGTCACTATGAGGGCCTAAATGGAGATCAGAATAAGCGCCAAAATAAGGGTTGGTATGAGGGCCAAAATAGGGGTCGTTATACGGCCCAAAAAGAGGGTCAGAATAGGGGTCAAAATAGAAATCGGTATAAGGGCCAAAACTATAGTCAGAATAAGGGCCAAAATAGGGATCAGAATAAGGACCAATAAAGGGTTGAAATAAGGGTCTGTATGAGGGTCAAAATGGCCGTTGGTATGAGGGCGAAAATGAGGGTCAGAATAAAAGTCGAAATAGGGGTCGGTATAAGGGCCAAAATTATAGTCAGAATAGGGGCCAAAATGGCGGTCAGAATAAAGGCCAAAATGGGGTTCGGTATCAGGGTTAAAGTAGGGGTCGGTAAAAGGGTCACCATAAGGGTGGGTAGGAGGGCCAAAATTGGGTCAGTATCAGGGCCAAAATGCGTGACGGAATAAGGGTCAACATGAGGGCCGGAATAAGGCCCAAAATTGAAGTTAAAATCAGAGCAACCATTAACGTCGGTATAAGGGCCAAAATGAGTGTCCAAATACGGGCCAAAATGAGGGGCATAATAAAGAACAGTTAAGGCTCAGAATAATGGTCAGAAAGGAGAGTCTGAATTGTAGACATTTGGGGTCAGAATCAAATTGCTCCCTTTCACATACAGTGTGTCCCAAAAAGGAATGTCATCCTCCTCAGGGGAGTTCGGGGGGCTCATATGGAGATGAAGACCCAAATGGCATTGCTCTCTCCCGCTTTGTTCAGCTTTTGACAAAAATGAAGGAGTCAAGAAATCTCAACGTATTGCAGGTCTTGACGGTTCCCGATGAAATGTGACATTATGAGATTCTTTACATTTTTCTTTCCGAATGGAAGAATTGTAATCGTTCAAATTTAAGTTTTGGATTTTTTGTTTTATATGAACCTGTTATTATCCAGAAAGTCCGAAATTTGGTACATTTCGACACTAGGCCGTGAGGAACTAATGTCGAATTGAAATGAATTTCTTCCTTCGTTTCTGTTTCGCCTTTCGTTTCTCTCGTTCTTCACCAGATTTTCATATCTATCGTTTCGTTTTTCGTGTCTCATCTCGGTATTGGTGAGCCCTATCCATCGCCATTAACAAAAATTCAGTCCATTGAATCATTTCTATAATTTTTTAATTTTTCCAAAAATTAGTTGTATCACGATAACTATTTACACAGTAGAATGAACACTAGCATATCGTCGTATTCGCTGTCGATTCCGGCAGTGAAAAATCAATGGAGATTAATTCTGAATCTGATCATTTTTGGAACTAGTTGGATTTTTCGGAGATATTAACAAANCAAAAATTCAGTCCATTGAATCATTTTTATAATTTTTTAATTTTTCCAAAAATTAGTTGTATCACGATAACTATTTACACAGTAGAATGAACATTAGCACATCGTCGTATTCACGGTCGATTCCGGCAGTGAAAAAATCAATGGAGATTAAAGTAGCTCTACCCCTACGGCTGTAGTCATTGAGTCTATTTCACAAAAAATACATTCTAAAAATCAGTATTTCTAGCTCTAAATTATTAAAATAAATCATAGAGGTCATGAGCATAAGTATTATCTTATATCAATTTTTTAAAAATAAAGTGCACATAAGCAGTTTTTCAATTGACTAGCTTGCAAATAACTGTGGCAACGCCGTACGATCATATGGGAAGTTGGAGACGAGCGGAGCGGGCGCCATCACACGGTCACTGTTGTCATGTCTATTCCTGTTGCCAGTATTATTAATAATAAAAAAAACTAAACGATAAATCGTTATCCAATAGGTGCCAATATTTTTTATGATTTTTTTCTCGTTTTTAGGAAAAAAAATTAGATTTTAATCTTTGTTTTAACCGGCGTTGTAGTAAATTCAGCGTTTTTCACATAAGACCCTGTGTTAAATAATGAATTTTCAACATTTCCTTTTAGAAAAACTTGAACGATAATTAAATGAGGGAAAAAATTACGATTCCGAATCACACCGAGTTTTTAGGCGATTTGTTGTAGTTTTTAAAAATCTTTGAATTGAAATATAACCCCAAAAAGGTAGAGCTACTTTAATTCTGAATCTGATCATTTTTGGAACTAGTTGGATTTTTCGGAGATATTAACAAATCTATTTTGCAGCCCCAACAATTCCCAACAGATAAACTTCTCTCGCATTTCCCTCCAGAAATATCCCTTGACATACAAAAAAATTTTACAGAAGAAACGAAGCGAATATGTCAGAGCAGTCTATTGGATTCCCATTGAACTGCTTTTGAAAATTATATGAATTTTTCGTCAATTCCATTCAGTAATTCTACAGCTTGAATGGGGGTTTTTTTATGAGAAGGCCCAGGCAGAAATCGACACTTGCATCCAGTTTGACGCGAGATTCACTTGCAAGAGTTAAACTTGTCGTTAGGTAACAAGGCTAGAATGCCTTTGGGTGAAACGGTGACGCTATATTACCTCGCGCCTGGTTTCCGTGATAACCTTTCCGTGCAACCTTGTCCGTAGGTAATAATTCAAACTCCGGAGAAGTTCGCCATGAACATTATGGGAAACGTTATTATTAGGGCACAGCACAAATTTAAATAAATGATCCCAAATTTTCCTATATATTCGATTTATTCCTGATAAAAAAATTCATCTTGTATCAGTAATTCAACACATTAATAATTTTCTCCAGGGTATAACGTCGATCCCCCTTTATAAAAACTACACTCATTCTGACTCGGAAGTTTCTCCTGAATGAGAGTCCCACAGACTCGAATTTCGTGCCTTCATTCTCTCCCAAGAATCCTTGATGCCCGTCAAGTTGTCAGTCTTTCCAGTGTTGAATAGTTGTCCATCGTCGGATGAACTTCCAGTTCCTGAAGCTGATGATGTTCGGTTACTCTTCCCAGCACCATGAGCTTTTTTTACATTTCGATGTCCATCCCAGCCTTTCGCGTGCGTAAGTGCTGTGCCTATTGCGTTTTCAGCATCTTTCTCGGTTACGTTGTGAGCAGCTACGAGAGTCTCTAAAAATGATAATTGGATAAATATTTTAATTGTATTATTGGAAATAGTCCACAACATTTCAAAATGTCATCCAGACGTGATTTGCTGGCAAAATTTCTAACAAGACAGATTTCTTTCACGTGTAATTAGATTTCATGGATAATTAGGAATGTGGTGAATGAAATCTTACCCGTAAGGCACCCCATGAACTGGGGAAGATTCAATTTCATCACGAATTTATCGGACATTTGCTTGCTGGCAGTGTATTGCATGGCCACCTCTCTGGTTATGAACTTTTTCAAAATACTGGATGCGCTCATCGATATTTTGGTTGTTTTGAGGGTTTTCAACACTTTGAGCTGATTTATACAATTGAAAAAAAAACAAATTATTAGGATATTTCTATTTTGTATTGTTTCTAGCTTGATGAATACTTACGGTATCAGTGAGGCATTGACGATTGTTCAGTAATTGTTGTTCGAAATGTTGAAGGAGTTCAATAGAGCTGATAGGGATTGAAATTTGATATTTTTCAGGCATTGACAGATCAGCTGATACGAAATCAAGGTTGCCCTCAAAACCACGTTCAATGTTTGAAAGTCTTTGATCAATTCTCTTTATGTCTTCTCTAATTGAAATCAAGAGATTCACCATTTTTGTTTGTTCTATCAAAAGAAAAAGTTTTGATCAATCGAATTAATTCCATGAGTGGTGTGAATGACTCCAGATTTTAAAAATAATAATTACCAGGATGATTACAGCAAAATTGCTTCTCTAGCTTCCTTTTCTTCTGAGGTGGTTCCTTCGGGGTATTATCAGGAACTTCAGCTCCCTGTGGCTGCCCACTAGTCTGTTCGGTGATGTCCTGCTCAAGAATTATTGGAGAATACAAATTCTCCTCTGTCAACTCGAGAGAGGGCCAATCCATCATTCCCAGACCCCGTTCGAATGCTTTAAAACATTTTCATAAAAAAATGAATTACTCAATTGGTGTTTTCCTGCGGGTGTGTGGAACAGTTTTCTCAATAGAGTGCATGTCATTAATTTAAGAATTACAAATCGAAAAATATGCTATTGAATAAAACAAAAACATCAAGCTTATTGGGAGGGACAATTGAAATTCCTCAATTCAATTGACAGAACTGTAATTTCTTCAAATGAGCATATGCTACCCAGAAATCTTTCAATTAAAATTGATTTATGCGACATTTTCCATTATATTTGAGTCGAAGTGAACTTATTTTAAATGTTGGACTATTCTACATTTCGTAATATCATTTAGCTTTTTAATTTTGGATTCAATTTCGTTTTCCTATTAGCATTTCCATAGCAAAGAGGACATTAAATTTGAAAAGAAGATCAAATAAAAATACTCGTGGGTTTGCATTACTGTGGTTAATCTTCAATAAATTAATAAAAATGTCCGAAATTATTGATTCAGCTCAAATCTTTCAAAATAGGGGAATAGTTGTGATTTGAATAAGATAGTATTGATATTATCCAGATATGATTGAATGATTTGTCTTGAATTGATGCAATTATCTCCTTTTGACGAATCAATTACACATGACTCTCAAGAGGAACGTTAAACACTTTCGGTGCTAGATTTGTATCTGGCAGAGATTGTGGTCGCGCATTGGTGACATTAAACACAAAATTACTGGATCCCCGAAATGAAACTTCAATGAGAAAACTTGAGTCAGAGACATTGATCCTGTTGCTGCTCAAATCTGGTGAACTAGTATGGAATAACCAATTTTTCAATAATACTCAACGAAGTCAACAGTTGACAATAGATGTTAATTTAATATATTATTCCAATCGTAAGTCATTGCAATAATCTTCATGTAGAATACTTCTGTTGCATAGATCGTTCCGTTTGAATATGCTCACAGGTGTATGAAACATTAAGGAACCCATTATTATGCTTGCCCAACATCTTACCATCTTGTGAGTTGACAGACTTTGATGACATTGCTGATGACGGATCCATCTTTTCTTTAATCTGTTGTTCCATCTTCTTTAAATCTAACTTCAAGATTTCTTTGCTAAGTCTAACTGCCTTGTCAGCAAAATCTGCTTCTGTATCTGTTGAAAAGGCATACTCATTCCCATGTTTCTTGATTTCCTCCAGAAGAAGTTCCGCTTTCTTGTAGGTTTCTATCAACAAATAATTTTTAATTAAAAGGAGATTAGACTCGTTTACATGTTTGTTTTGGTATTTCTTTTTTTTAAGGAATTTACATGTCTATTTTTTGGATGGATTGAGACCCATTATGTAAATCAATATTTTCCTAAATTAATTCTGATTCTTCTGAAGAGGTCGATTGATCCCAATCGATTTCCCCTCACCACCAGTTGCTGGCAGATATTTAGAAATCCCAGAGGGGTAACTGAATTTTGTGAAGGACTTTTGGTACAAGTGAAAATCATTGCTGCCAAAAGGAGAAAAGTTATTTATAAGCAATTCATTACTACGATTCCATCCCAGAATATCTACCAACAATTAACGACGAGTCGGAATCTACGCGATTTATTTTACCTGTTCGATATTCAATTAAAAATTTATTCTATATGATCAAAAATTCAAGCTTACTTGATTGCCCATGGATTTCAATATTATAAACCTCCCATTCCTGTTGATAATCGGAATGCGTGCTGACCAATTCCTGGACTTTGTCGTATGGTGGAGGAGGATAATAGCATTGAAGTTTCTTCTTCGATTTGGATGGAAGGACCCATTTCCTTGGGACCACGTCCACGCTCTTCATCTTAGGTGGTCTACCACGCAAATGAAACGACACCAACAGATACTTCTTTGAAGACTCATTAGCCCTATCCGCGTCGTCCATACCTGTAGGTAGATTTTCGAAAACATATTGAAAAATACAATAATATAAGTAGATATCAAAATCATGCTATTTTAGATCATGGCGGCTAACGACGCGTTCATTATTATTGGGCAACGTCTCGCCATTCAACTGTCCTGCATGTTGTTCTTTCTTGGAAAAACAACATGTAGTAAAAATTCTCAGGTCTATTTCACTTTTCTCTAATCACTGAATAGATTCATCTTTCTAAATTGAATATGGCTATCAAAAATTCCCGGCTAGAGCATCCTAACTCATACACAATCGACATTCACCAGAATAAGAAACTGGCCATTTGATTTATTAATTTCATCACAAATATTGAGTAATACTTACTGTATTATTAACTGCACTGTTTACTGGTATAAACGCAATCAATAATTAATGCACACAACACCAATAATTATCCAAATGTCTTGAAAACCCGAGAGAAACTATGTCAAGCCGGTACAGACGTGAGACGATGTTCAATAGACGACAAAGGAGGAGCGACACATTTGTTTACATGTTCATACTTGAGCGTAACGGCCAATCGACATGCCCAGCCTCTGGACCCGTTGGGATATGACCACAACTACAGCCGATAAACTACTGTCGATAAACAAGCCTCTGTATTCAAAATATGTGTCGTAAATTGTGTCTCATCTCACACTGGAAATTTAATATAAAATTATGGGAGAACTGAGATTCGAACTGACACTCGAATTGTTATAAGAATTTGTTAGGTATTTAAATATTTATTTGTAGCGCGATATGAATCTGAATTTTTCGGAGTAGACTAAAGTTTTAGATGTTCGTGAGAAGGTACGTGGGCCTTGCAATCCAGGATTGGAAAAAGTTTCCAAAATTCAATTGGTTGGAGAAGATTTTCCCCAGACTGCAATTGGTCAAGTAAAGGGATAAGAGAAAGGCTATGTAGAAAAAAGGGAAAGCGGACCGGAGGACGACGCGGTCTCGGTACGCGTTGAGGGCGAGTTTGCACATGTGGTGAACACCGGGGCTGGTCGGTGGGCAGTAACCGGGAAAAGGGACAAAAAATGGGGAATTTTACTCACGAGAAAACAAAAAAAAAAGAGACTATTGTGCAAAATTGCTCAAGTATTTCCTACATAATTTATATTTTTGTTTACGCCTAGCCAAAGTCTGTTCAGTTTGAAAGTTTTGAAAATTGATGAATTGTTTAAGATTTTAGGAATTTATTAAAAATCCATTATTTCTTAACTCAAAATTGAATATGAAAAAATGCTGGTATGCAACAAATTGGAATTGAAAAATTTCATTGTTATCCAGGTAAATAATATACAAAAGTACTAGGATTCTCTGTTGTATGAAAGATAGAAAAAAATAGGAGAGGAGAGGGGAGAAACAGACTAATTAATTATATTAACATTTATTCATGGAGAAGAGTAGTTACAACAACTTTGATTTCACCATCCACTGAAAAATTCAATTTAAATTGAACCATTTGCGATTGTATTTCATTGATATCCACGTAAATAATATATAAAAGTACTGGAATTCTCTGTTATGTGAAAGATAGACAAAAATTATTATTCTTTCATTAATCCTCAAGGTACACAGACTAGTTGATTATATTAAGATTCATTCATGGAGAAGAGGAATTACAGAAACTTTAATTTCACCATCCACTGAAAAATTTAATTTAAATTGAACCATTTTCGATTTTATTTCTTGAAGTGACACTTCGATGATTACCGGAGATACCTTTTGATGGAGTTCCCACATTTCTAATTCAGATGAATTGACAGGGCTCGCAAACAATGGTGCTCTTCTATTCCAAACTTTCCCCCGAATTATTATTCGTCTTCCATGATCAAGAATCTCAGTTATCTTCATTATTTGTTTATTTTTTAACAAAACAATATCATCTGGTGCTCTTGTGGAGAGCAAACATCCTTTATGTTGAATTTTATTGATTCTCCCACCACGTTCTCTTTTAAGGATCATAACCTCAGGTCTGATTTTACCCTGTTGGTCGAGGACACTCTGCTCATATAGGCGACGACATAGCTGAGCTACTGTGCTGTGAGGCGAGCGTAGAAGTCTTTTGATTTTCCCCAATAAATTTTCAAATGGGAACGCGGACATTTCACTTAAACTACACCCTATATTGACCACATCATCAGCTACATGGAGAATATTATGAGTATTCACAGTGACTGATGACTTTCCATATATTCTCAGCGCATGAACGAAAAATCGTGTAAAACAATTCTTGGCTAGTTGAACATGATTTAGTGCTGTTGATTTGCACCACAACAATCGTGAACCAATAGCGAATAGTGGAAAATGACGATATTTATCGGCACTCAGAATGTCCTTTAAAACAACTGGTCCTGCATATAATGCAAAGAATTTTAATTCGATCGCTTTATACTTCGTAAAATCACTCAATGTCCTTATTTTTCTTTGGAAATCACTAGGCACCTGTAATCGTATTCTCATCATTGTTTTATCTCGTTTTCGTTTAATTGAATCACTCATTTTTATTGATAAACAATGACTTATTCACGGAAACTGACAGGTAACCTCAAAATCAGATGGGTGGATGTTTATTCTTTCAAATTGTCAAATTGATACAACAATTATATTAATTGATTAAAAAAAAGGACATTCTTGAAAGGAAAGGAGGATCTCAAAAAGTACTTCTCTTTCGCAGCGATTCGTTGTTTATAAACAATATAAATATGGATGATATATAGGATATAACATCATAATCATCAAACAGTTGTCGTTTACTTCAAGTTCAGAAACGATCGATCATTTTAATAAATCCCACATTTATAATTGTGGAGTTTCGTTCATGATCAGAGAAAATATAATGATAATTACTTCAGAACAATAATTGCAATGTGTGAATAGAATTTTTTTTTTAAGAATCCGCCAATTCGAAAAAGCATTTAGACCTACAGAATATCGCTTGAGGCGAGGTTATTTTGTTGCAGTTGTGTGCATCTAATGTATTCAGACTAATGCCACCTAGCGCCGAATGTACAGTGATCGGTACATGTAAGAGTTGCATGCTATGGTCATCCAAGTTTATATTCAGCTAACGTCGGAAGATAATTGCTAGATTGCATATGCTAGGAGGGGATACGCTTGTGACAATCTTGCATTGGTTATTCTAACAGGGCTACCTAGCCACAATGTTCAATCTTGCAAACGTAACTCATATTTCTACCTGGGGGGTTCAGAAACTATTTCGTATAACAAAAACAGTAGCTGATTTTGTCATCAAGAATTTTTCTATAGAAATGTTTCGACATGAATTTTCCAACCTTTCTTTACCCGTTTTTTCTCTTTTCATCAAAAAATTTCAACAAAAAAAATGAGGAAATTTAAAGTCAGTAATTCTCGTAGACAATATCTCAATCGAATAAGTTGTATGGAAGAATCAAATTGTAAAGATTTTCGATATAAAAAATTTCCTATTGAATTTGTCATTGTGAAACAAACACCCCAGGAAACTTGAAAATTTTTCAATACAATTGGGGGAAATCAATGGAATTTTCGATACCAGTTAAAAAGAAATGGTAAAAAAAAATCAGGCGAATTCACTGAATTTTTCCATGAATTTCCTTGATTAAACGAAAAAGGAACTAGAATAGAAAAAACTTCGAAAATTTGAGGAGAGGGGGGGGATTATTTTTCATATATTCTATGGAAAATATCCTAAAAGAATAAGTTGTATAGAAAAATTGAATTCTATTGACTTCTTCTATAGAAAATTTGATATTGAATACTTCAATAGAATCGGCTAAAAACGAATAGAAAGTTGAATAGGAATGGAATAGAATTGTCTAGCAAATTCGCTAGATTTGAAAATCTAAAAAATGCCATAAAAATCATTGTGCCTGCACCAGAAATTGTAGTGCAAAATACAGGAGTTTTTCAAGGTAAGACTGATAAAAGTTCCTGTAGCGCTCAGTCAAAATTTCGGTGCTGGCACCTGAATTTTTCCGGGTCCTTCCAAATGAACCCATTTCATCGTGCTAGCACAGTCATTTTTTTGGTAATTTTTCCGTGCGCGTGTGACAATGCGTTTTTCCTTGATTGTTCGCTAATGAATCGATGAAATGGTTAACTTAATGAGGACGCTCTATTTTATGACACTCTTTTCAAAAAATTTCATCAGATAAACGATTCTAAGGCATTTTTACTGCATGTGTTTTCTCTTGTGAGAACATTCAAGGAAATTTTGAAAATTGACGACGAGGAATATTCATAGGAGTAATGCCAATAGAGTATTGAAAATTAATTGAATGAAACGTGTGAGATCCTAGGAAAGTTTCAATTGGATCGATGAATCTAAGAGACGAATTTTTATTATTCATTTTTGTAAATAAAATTTTTTATACACGCAAAGATAATTTAATAGAAAGAGGGAATATTGCTCTTCAGCAGAAGTTTGTTAGATTACTGATACATCATTTGATTCACTTCAATTTTCAAAGATCTGGTACAGTGTAATGATGATTTCAAAAATGTATTGGTAAATTATAGAAACAATTCATTTGACATTCCAATTGAATTTAAAATTCTGGGAACAAACAGGGCTTCAAAATCAGTTTTTTCTCGGTTTTCGTTTTCTTCCGAAATTACAATTCCTCGAGATGAATGGAAATTGGCGTGAATATTAAAAGAGGTTTATTGGCAATTCCAAATGGAGCTATTACGTGCAGGCCCGATAGCTCAAGTGGCAGACCACCAGTCTGGCAAACTGGAGACGCCGAATCGTACTCCGTCTGGGATTATACCCCAGTGCCTCCGAATTGTTTAATTTGTGCATAGATAATTGTTTTATTATTTCCCTCATACAGGGGTTCGGAAAGTTGATGGATTGCATATAGCATCCCGCTTTCTATGTAATTTATACCTTTCAAACATCTAAAGGTTGACCGAATCAATAGCTATATCGGTCGGTAAATTTCTTAGAGTTATTAATCATTGAAGATGATTTT